AAAAAAAAAAAAATTGGCAGTCAAAGGTTTGTGAAGGGAAATCTCAAATCATCAAAAACCATCATTTTTGGAGTTCAATTTACGGGGTGACAAGTTGCAGGAATTTGCAACGGAATTTGGGGTTTTACCTGACATCGTGCAAACTTATAGCCAGCGTAGACCTACCTTTCCTATCTTTTTAAATTTCTTTTTCAAAAAATTATAATTAAAGTTTCATATGAAAGGTCTGAGGCGGTCGTTTACGCGTATGTTTTGCCTAAATAACGAGAATGTTCATTATTCGAAGTAAACTATAGGAATTGGGAAAATTGAAATAGCCGGAAAACATACCTACCCGTCTTATTGACTATTCTTTAAATCGCATTCCTAACAGTTAGTTTAGGTCAGCATAGGTTAGAAATAACCAGCATAAAGTCTCATGCAGCAGCCATGTTGCAAAGAAATCGGACTTTGAATGAAACTCAATGAAGCAATGTGATAACTGGTACCACCGAGTTAACTTAGGTGTCAGTTAGTCACGTTCTCTATTTGTCAGTCGTAAAGGTAGTAAATAGTTATACAATTTTTTGATACCTCGACCGGCATTAACCTATAGTTAGCTGCGGCACTCTGTAAGGAAATAAACGACTTGATAAAATACGAAATATTTTTCTATTTTCCTAAGATTTTTCATAAATTATGGTTGTTAGGCTACTTCGAGGAGGGTTTTCAATGTATATACGATAGTTTTTGCGTCGAATAAATTATGTTTCACTTCGAGGTAGTACAAAAATATTCAATTTGTGACAAAAGATCTGACGTTACAATGTTTTAATTTTATAATCAATCTCAAAGCTTACTGTAGAAAACAGGATATTTTACCTGACGATCTGAAATACAGTGCGAGCCATTGGCTTTAGGTCGGTTGAACCAACAATTTTGGTGCTTTCAATGAATTTCATTTTACCGTAAATTAAGGATGAGTCCAGATCCACACAAACAAGTATCCGTGGGCGTGGGAGGCTAAAATTTCCTTCGACGAGGTGTTTCATAGGCGACGGACACACGAGACCAATCTTATCATTCCAGCGCACGAATTCGTCTGTGGATTCTGTAGTTGGAATCTGTGAGAAAGCAATGAGAAAAATGAGAAGGCATGTATAAGCAACACGACAAAAGTGCTATTTTTGAAATAACTGCCCAACTCAAACCCGCAAGTACCTTTGTTATGGACCGGAAGGGGGATATGCTCAAAGAAAATCCCAGGTGAATGCTTAATATAACAATAACAGAAAACTCAAATTTGAGACAATATGGTTCAGTATGTTTAGGGTAATACGCGAAGCCTTTGAAGACCCTATAAACTGCTTGATACTTCGAGGCAGAGAATTTCTCAACTGGGACAGTCATCGGATCAGTATAAATTCACCATGCTTCGAAAACCTGTGTAAAGCCCTTTTCTTCATTAACATATGCAAATAGCACACATTATATTTTATTCAGTCATTTCTGCTTATTGATGCGCAATGCACTTTAAACTGAACTTAGTTACTGGTAAAATCAAGACAACTACCCCACATGCCTTTTCGGAGTACTCTGAAGACGAAAAACAGACTGCTGAGCTTTTTTATGCTTTTAAAGTAGACACCGTCAGCCAAAAGGCAGCAGAAAAGCGGCAAATAGTTTGGCTGTGTGAATATTTTAAGCGCATGTCATGTATGCCCGTTATCGAAACGATCTCTTCGAGTAGATTTTAGCTTTCCTTGGCAGAACAGTTATGCATGAGCAGCTGCTGATTCACAGAAGTTTGAAAAGTCCAAGTAAGCTCTTCTTTTATGCACCTCGGATAAAATATTATGTGAACTTTGAAAAGTAAGAAGGCTTTCGGAAAATCCAGTTGTACTCGCGAATTTTCATGCAGGGAACACCGGCCCTTCATCAGAAAAAATGGAAAGTGGGGAGTGGGAGTGTCGCAATGGAGCGTTTGGTGAGGGGATGCAGGTAGACAGACGTTCACAGCAGAGAGGGGGGGGAGGATAAACATGTCGCGGTTAGTATTGGGGGTGAGAGGAGGAATGTAGAAAGTCAGACAAGGTTCACGTGTCGGGGAGATGCCACGTCAGTGCATTTTCACTCGACTGAGTATTGCTAAACGACTGTTGTGGGTGCGAGTCAGTGAGCCATGCAGGCCAACCCCCGTAAAGTGCATCGAGGTCGACATGTCTGTAAATGCTGGTCGGGCTCGAGTGCCAAGCTTCGAGGAATTCTCTAGCTTTTTTCATGTTGGCCGTCCCAATTGAAGCGGCGGTCAAAATCAAGGGAGTGCGCAGCTGTGAGAGATAAAGGATCTCGTCGGGGAACGGCTAACTTGTGTTCGTTGATGCCAGTCCGGAGACGTCGGCCTGTGTAGTCAACATAAACATATGGACAACTTGCGTGCGTAGTGTGGTAAACAACGTCGCCTAGTTATTCTGCAGTTAGAGGGTCCTTTCCTCGGCATAGGGTTGCGCGTAGGACGGATGTGGGCTTGTGAGAGACGGAGGTGCCGAAACGAATTATTTGTCGAGAGATGGTTTCGGAAATTCCTGTCATGTAAAAAAGGGAATAAAATGTCCGCGGCACCATATATCCATTAAGAAGGAGGTTTTGTGCTTGTCATTGAAGTCTGGTACCGTTGAGTGCACGAATCATTGACTCGCACCCACAACAGTCGCTTACTAATACCCGGTCGAGTGGAAATGCACGTGAACCCTATCTGACTTTCAACCCCCCCCCTAGTCCATCCCTCACCCCCAACAGTAACCGTGACATTTTATCCTCTCCCCTGCCGTGAACGTCTGTCTGGCTGTCTTCCCCCCACCAAACGCTCTAGTGCGACAATCCTACTCCCCACTTTTCATTTCATCTGATGAGGAGCCGGCGTTACCTGCTTGAAAATTCGAGAGTACAACTGGATTTTCCGAAAACCTTCCTACTCTACATTATATCATCTCAGAATGCAAACAACTTCACTTATCCACTATATGAACTTTCTTGGGAAAAGATTGTCCGTAAATGTTGAACAAAATATTGCCTACAGACACCAGTACGCGTAGACAGAAACGACCTACTAGTAACCACTGAAATTTTCAGCTTCAGAATCCTCCTTTCTCTGCCCTCCTACCGTTATTGCGAACAAGAACAGCAATGTAACATTTCGCATCACCCCTTCCCAGGTTCCAGAGCCCGAGACACCAAACTACGCATCAAGCATTCAGACATTTATCGTTTTGCAGTTATTTGTGATACCGGCGAGGTCTACTACCATGGAGAAGGAAAACCGAGGCAGGGATTTATGTGAGATCACAAAAAGTATAGGTTATATGAACACTCAAGTGACCGAAGGTATAGTTTGTTGTGAATTATGTATGCATGGAGCAGTTGGGGAGTTAGGAGAGGATATGCTAGGACAGATTTTTGTCAGTAAATACTTCTTCCACGTCTTTACTTTTGGGCATACTCTGCATGCCGGAGGTCTGAAGGGGATTTCGGAATACGAAATTTCTAGGAGAGACAAAAAGCAGAGCAGTTTGACATGAGCACTCATAGCCAGCATGATAGTAGCCTTTGACGCGTCCACCGAATGTAAGCGTGTGAGGATTATTTCAAATTTTTAAACCTACAGCCGGAATTTGAGCTCGCAACCCTATTGCGGTAGAGGATTAGTTGCCAGAGTGCTAATAGCAAAAAAATATGCACAGCTTAAAACCATATCGTTTTGTCGTATTCAACATAGGGACTCAGAGTAGGAGACAGCAACCGACGAGATGAACTTCACGCATCTCTTTTTGGATATAGAACATGACCGCTTTATTTACATGCCTCATTAGAACATTACAGTGCTTTGATTAAAGAGTGTCCGATTTATTAAAGGGTTGCAACTGGTGACCAGCTCCTGTTGCGTTGTATTTCCTTTCCTTACTGTCCTTTATACACGAGAAAAACAGTCTCTACTGAAAAGTAGACGGCTTACCTCCATTTTGAAAATAATGGAGGAGAGAATTGCAATCTTATGTTATTTACTGTAAATGATCTGGAGATGCCGAAATAGGCCAAATCCGACAGTCTGTCGCTCGCACAGATGCCTGCGCGGCCGAGTTCCAAACCAAATTGTATCAGTATAATGGATTTGCCAAAGTGTTAGTCTGCGATTGTGCTCTTGAGAAGGAGTTCAAGACGCTAAACCTCGCGTATGTCCCCAATTGGTGAATATTTTTCTTCTCTTCATGACCGCAGCCTTTCCAGACTTCCAGATAAATCGACTGCATACATAATTGAGATATATTCAAATGCCAGTATGACCATCGGAATTAAAGACAATCCTTATGGACAGTAATAAGGTCTCAAATTAAAGAAAGACCACAAGATCAGTGTCCTGGTCTGAAATCACGCACAGTAGCACAACTGTAGTTAGTTCTTGGATGGCACCTTCGCAAAAACGGGATGACGGGATGAGGACAAAGAATAAAACAAAATTAGTACGACAGCCTGTAGTGAAAGCGCACTAGATCTATTATCTTTTCGACAAATTAGTGTGAAATAATCATCCGGGCCCCGTTAAAACTTGATTTCTTGGCTTCCAACCTTATAGGATCAAGGCAGAAAAGCCACTGAAGAAAGTATACTGTTAGGATGGCCTAGCACGCGATTCATCACTCGGGCCGTCCCAAAGACAAGAAAAAAAAGGAAGCCCACATGCCAGTGGGCGCATACAGAACGGGCCAAGAGCACGACCTTTAAAGTGGAGACACGCGAGGACACAAGGACAGCCGCCGGCCGGGTTCTGAGGTCACGCTTGACGGGGGGCACGAAAGAATGTATGCACATGCGCGCGTAACAGTGGCGCGACGTGTCCTCTTAAGGACACCATATGGTGGCTGCCTGCAGAGGGCCAATAGGGAACAAATGCCGTTGGACCTTAGATACGTTGCCACCGACTGGAGGCGGCATTCTGCTGCTCGCGACTCAAGACTCTGTTACCGAGATCTGCTGCTGTCGAGACGAGACCGACGACAGAATACACGCTGCTGATGGACACAGAACAAGCTGCTGGACACACAGAAGACAGGGCTGATGCACAAGCAGAAACAGTGACAGTAAACTATCCTCTGCTATCCTGTCAACCTTCTTTTCCTAACATACAACTGGGGGATAGAACCAGTGACAACGCAAGGGCTCACACAAAGTTATAACATATACCTTATTTTGCGCATCTCATATGGCTCAGCTGGAAATGGGGAGATAGCAACATAACTGGATGTTAAAACGTAAAACTGCGTCACGATATTCATACAGGTCCCATCAAGCGCAGACCGGAATCCCACATATATGAACAGTAATAGAGGTGGTTCACTTTGGTTAGTGCCCCTTCACAGAGTCAACTGTTCAATATTTGAGTCAAGAAGGTAATCATTAGGGCCAGCATCAGGACAAGCCGTGGGGTAAACATTTGAAGTGATGTGAATTCAATGAATCAGCTAATCGAAGTTCCGCTTACAAAGCTCAGCACAGTCATTCGCATACGGACAATTTACTTGAAGATTATTAAAAAATTCTAGTTAGCACCGCCAATTTGCTGCTCTTATTTGTGATAGTGAAACCTTATATGAGTTCAGAAAGTTGGATTAATAAATACACCAACCTATCGCTCAGCTAATATCCTTCCTGTCTCCTCTCAGAAATATGTTAAACGAATAACAAAACGAATATTGAACAACATACGAAATCTAGAAAGGTTTCTTTCAGGCGAGCCATTCTCTGGATCGCCAACGAGCCCTTCTCACATTTTGTCAAGAATTCATGTTGTGCATCCTATCAAGCAACAGATAATCGGGAAAACTGTAATATCCTCCTACTTCCTCTCGCGTACGCAGCTCTTGCCAGTTTCCAACAAGAGTTTTAGTGGAGTAGGCGTTATGTGAAGCGCTCATCTCCTCTGGATGATAGGGTCGCAACAAAGATGAAACTAACTTCCCCCTGACACGTGCTTTGATCGATCGATATACTTCGAAATGTGGAAGACGCTTCAGAGTCGTATGCACAAAATCTTCTGCCCACATAGGACGTCACAGCACACAAGTGAGTATTTAATTTTGAAGCGTGGTGTTAAATTCGGACAACAAAGGGTGAATATTCTTATTTACCATGAATCCTACTTTGTGAATTGATTTAATTAAAAGGTCTGCTTAAGCACGGGTGTAACAAAAATGCACAACTGGGGAACAGTGGTATAAGTAGTGCATCTTATAAACCCCTATTCCCAACATTTTTTATATGTAAACGGTGCTTATAGGAGTTTTTGGGGTGGAGGATTAGGATAGGTAGTGGAATATACTTTAATAACTACTATGTGCATTTTGATTTTACTGTATTTAGAAATTCCGTTGATTTATATCTGTAGATTTTCCTTAACTGTATTATCGTTTAACGTATTGCGAAAAACCCCGATTATCAAATTGCAGGTTTCTTCAAATTCCCGAAAAAAATAGAAATTGTGCATAGGTGGTCATCTATTTCAACTAACCTGAGACCAAACTTACCGTTCTGGAGTTAGACTAGTATAGTCTGCGGCGCGAAGCGCCTCGCACACCTTCAATTTATATGTGGAACAACTTTTTCCCAGCGGCCGCGAGAAACATATCCAACAACACTTTTCCACTTCACACTTGCTTCTACAAATTTCCTTCACTATCTATCCTATTTCCCCACCCCAAAACGCCTATAACTTCCGTTTTCGTAGGACAAAATGCTGTGACTAG